GTATATATATATATATATATATATATATATATATATATATACATATATATATATATGTATGTGTATATATATATGTGTATATATATTCAATTCAATTCAAATTCAATTCAAAAATACTTTATTAATCCCAGAGGGAAATTAAATGTTGTTGTAGCTCATTTTCCTTGTTTCATAAAAGAGTTGTTCTAGATGTTGATGGTTGTGGGCGGGAAGGATCTCTTGTGATGGTCCGTCTTATAGCAGATCTGAAATATACAGGTCCTTCGTCCCTCGGTCCCCCCCTGGAGCTAAGCCTGGCGGTGACACTTAAGGCAAAAGCTTCCAGGATGAACCAGCAACCTGTTCCTCCAGGGAAGCATGATCTGATGGTGACAAGGTCTCCAACCGAGCTCACCAGTGCTCATTCCAGATGGCCGCAGCAAACAACAATGTCGCCCTGCTGGCCTACAGCATCTCTAAGAGGCTGGAGGAAGCAGACCTGCTGGAGGAGACAAGAGCTCTCTCTGTAAAGCTGCTGATGTCATCTTAAACATGTGCCACCTCTGCGATCTGCCTGTCCCGCATCGCCGCCTGGATGACCATGATCCAGAGGACCACTTGGCTCCGCCTCTCACCATCCTTGTCCGAGAGGCTGCAGAAAGACCTGCTGTTGGGCCCCATCACCCCAGAGGCGCTGTTTGGGGCCAACTTGAGGACCATCCTTGAGAAATCGCAGAGGTCGGAGGAGGTCTCAGGGACTGTACACCATCTGGTGACGTCACAGTCCATCTGCCCCTCCAGCCGCTGGAGGGACCGCCTTGGCCAGCAACAGCACCAGAGGCTCTCCACAGCTGCGGCAACGACTTCACACCCTGCTCCTCAGCCGGTCCCCTCCACCAGGTAACAGATTCTTGAGGGGAAGGTATGTGTTTATTGATGATGTATGTTTTTGATATAAAACAGAAACCCTCTGAAAGTCAAGTTTTTCACTTGAGATTGTCAGATCAGCTGATCTCTCAGCTGCCTCTCTTCACACATTCCCCACACAGTTCAGTAAATATCACAAGCCAGAGCCCGTTTTTAATTTCTGCTGTTTTCTGCCCACTCACAGTGCAGTGGGAGTAAATGTGTTTTTTCCACGACAGCTGCAGCCTCCACCGAAATGGCATCTCACTCAGAAAGCGCTCACACCTCCTCTCGGTGCGTGCCGGCTCACCTCAGCTCTATGTGAGACCGCAGCCTGGGCCCAGCACAGAGGCACACATTCAGCCTTTTTTTCTGTCGGAGCCCCCATTGGGTTCCCCCCAGAGAATCTCCGGAGCGAGTGATGGCAGTAAGGATTTTTAATCTGGTTGACGTTCATGAGAAACATGACACAACACAAACGCATGCCCGCTCTCCGAGCGCTACTCAGAGTGGCAGCAAGTGTGTTCCCTGGACAGATGGACGGACCATCTGATCAGAAGGGGTTACATGCTGCAGTTCGCAGCTCAACCCCCACGGGTTTCAGAAGGATTATAGAGACGATCCTGTCTTCTCCAGAACAGAGCTCGTCTCTCCAGTCAAAAGTTCATGACTGCTGACTTTATTGTTATTAACCGGTTCATCCTGAGGAGCTTTTGGTCTGCTCTGTTCATCGTTACACTGTTACAATTCGTATCCTCCATTGTTCCTATACACAGTAGCTAAATCCTGCTTCGCCTTTAACCCACTAGCGAGAAGCCTTAAAGGGCGAAGCCTATACTAAATAGAATGTTGGTTACGTACTGTAACCCCAGATTATATGAGTATAGGCATAGCCCTTTAAGCTATGAGCCTCACTGGTTCCTAAATGGCTGAAGAAAAAAGCTTTTTCTGGAGCCGATTACCTGGTCTTACCGTAATTTATACGGACCGGGGGTGAGGCCCACACACAGCAGGTGGGTGTGGACAAAAGTTTTTTCAGTGCAGTGCTGAGCGCATAAGGGATAAACCCACTAGCAAGAAGCCTTAAAGGGCGAAGCCTATACGAAATAGAATCTGGGGTTACAGTACGTAACCAACGTTTTCCTCTGTCTTGCAGAGTAATGCATCAGAGTGACTTAGATCATCTAGTTGAACATTTTACAACTTCAATGCAAACTTCACTTGATAAAATTGCTCCACTGAAAAAGAAGGTAATCAATCAGAGGAAACTGGCTCCTTTGTTCAATTCTGAGTTACGTACTTTAAAGCAGGCATCTAGTAACCAGGAGAGAAAATGGCGCTCTACTAATGTTGAAGAATCTTATTTAA